TCAGAAGGGAGTGTTGTATGCTAAAAAAAAAGTTGGTAAAATTCTGCTCCTAGAATCTGCAGCTGCAAACCGCACAGGTTCTGCAGAAAATTAAGCACGTTTACATGATAAAACTCACACTTACTTTGCATCCACTTGTTCTGCCCTTTGGCAAAGAGCTATGAAGCCCTGCCACCCCTCTCCCCAATTTTGCCCCTAAGATTCTGCTACACACGGTCTACAGCACACTACCTGGTACCTCAAACTTAGCTTCAAAAGCTAAAAGTCTCCCCACTCCCACGAAAGCTACAGTTGCTGAGATGCCGAACAGCATGACTTGTTTGGTATAACTGCAGAATCCGTACAGGTCTAGCCATCACTGTCAGGGCAGGTCTCCATACAAGTCCCCTACAGGCACTCTTCCCCCCAACCCAGACTGTATCCTCTTCTTAGCTAGAAAACAGAGCCTCACCCCTCCTTCCAACGTGCGTGCATACACACCTAGTCACAGGTAAAGAGTGATGGTGCAAGGGGTAATTTCCTTTTTGGGGGGGGGGGGTTTCTCATGATACCCAAGCCCTGATTCTTGGCTACACAGACATACATTCTGGTAAGGAAGTGGCAAAGAGAACCTGCCCCGTGGGGCAGGTCACGGAAGTCTGTGTTTTCAAAGATCTCAGCCCATCCTGGCAACCTTAGTTGGGGCTCTGCTGAGTCAGAAAACCTGTAATGGCAGAGAAGCTGTCAAAAAAGACACCTTGCCTGTCATTACTTATCTTCTCTCACTAGCCAGTGTTCAGTATGTGACAGATTAGCCCAGTAGACCAAAGTCAGGGTGGTCTCTGAAACACTCCCAAGCAACTTCTGAACACAACAGGGCACGTTCCACAGATAAGACAAAAATCCGGGGACACCTTAAAGACGAACAACATTTATTTCAGTATGAGTTTTTGTGGGTCACAGCTCACTCCATCAGACGGGTTATGTGACGGGGAAACTGTAGTAGTGGGGATTTTTTTACGGGGGCTGGGGGAGGGAGTTGAAACTTGGTGTGAATTACGCCGTAAAGCTTTCAAGTATAAGCCTCGAGGTAAGGAGAAAAAAGTCAGAGTCGATGTAGAAAGCATGAATCCTGTCATAAATCAACTGAATTTGTATTAACACAAACTGGATGGTGAGGGAGGTCAGAAGTTCAAGCAGATAAGCAAAGGGCTTAAGTGAAAATTAACTGCTATGGGTACAAGGTTGTTGGCTGATAAAACATGATAAAAACAGCTCCACAGATGCCCCTGCGAGGGATGCCTTGAGGGCAGAATGACTGCCCAACTGGCTGGTCTATTATACACCTGGTTCTTTGCAGAGGGGTGTTTCAAGGCCTCCTCTGGCATACTGAAACTGCCTAACTGCCTGCCTGCCTGCCTGCCTGCCTGCCTTCCTTCCTTCCTTCCTGTGTTGTCTGCCAGGGGCGGGGTCTGTACATAATCTTGTTTAGTTCACAATGCCTAAGTGAAAGAGGAGGAGGAGGAGGATCCCAATCTTGTCCTAGAAGATACGCATGCCGAAGAGGGCAGGTAACACCCCCCCCCCCAAGACACAGTGGCATTAGAATGGCACCTGCGCCCAACACAGAGGCAAGGTGTGTGGCACCTACGGCCAGCTGTCAAGCTCTGAAGGAGAGACTGTGCCCCCCTCCACCCCAGCCAGTTAGATACAAGAGGTCTGCCCCTTTGGAAGAATGAAGAAGAGAATGCTCTGGAGAGATACTGAAAAAGACCAGCCTGGAGCTCACCCTCTTCTCCTTGGGGTGCCCCTTTGGGAGTGGTGAAGCCCCCAAGTGAGTAACCGCCCCAAAACAAGGCGACCGCCCAAGAAAAAAAAGACCACGAGGCCCAGCCACACACAACACAGTTCAAAAACCAGTTCTTCAGGGAGCCTCAAAGAGGCCGGACACTTATTTGGGAATTAACTGCTTCTGGATATGCCAAACAAAGTGAAGTTATCCCTCCAGCTGCCCAGAAAAGCCAGGCAAGGGGAAATTATCCTTCCCCCTGCTTTCTCTGCCAAGCTTCAGCTGGTTAGCGACTGATCAAAACAAACAATTTGTCAGAAGCCTTCCTGACTAACAATCACCAGGGGCCAGATAGACAACAAGTACTGCCTGCTATTAATAGTCGTCTGGAAACCTATTTTCAGAGTCCCTTTCTCTCTGTTTCCTTCTTAAATCATTAACTTGCCAAATGCTGGGTTGCGTAAGAATTGGTCAGGCTTTTAATTTCTTCCCCCATCTCCCTCCATGCAATCTACTTCTGACAAATCGAGGATTATATAAGAACCAACTGGTTGTCACTTAACATGTGCAGCCTGAAGTGCTCCGCTAACCGCCACTGGGCACAGACCTGTAGATGTAAGAAGGAACAAGTAGCCCAACCACTGCTTTCTGCTCCCTTAGCTCATGTAAAGAACGTACAATGGGCTAAAATGTCATCCAGGAATCCATGTTGACTTACAGACCCTGTTCTGCCAGCTCTTCCCTTGGCTGGCACAAATTCCTGGAGGGTGCTATTCCACTTCCTTCCACTAGGGTACGCTGCCACTATTGTCCTGTTGGGGTCTTCCTGCCAGAAGGGACAGACTCCTGACACCCCTTCTCAAACTGAGGCCCTGCCTCTGGTCTCCTGCTACCCAGCACCTGGTTACCACAGGGACCGAATTCCTTCTTTGGGGGGCCCCTGGAGGATTGGCAACGGGTGTCTTCACTGCTTGCCTTTTCCCCTTCCAGGGACTCCCCTCTAGAAGTAGTGTGGTCTAAGGCAGCTGGGGAAACTGTGTGGTCGAGAGAACACTACCAGCTTCAGAGAGTAAAATATTTATCAAAAAGAAAAGTCACAAGCATACTTTTAGCAGAGCACCAGGTCAGCAACCAGAAGAACAAAGAAAAGTTGGTCCTAATTTCATCCTCTGTCTCTAGTTCTAAAACTACTAGATGTTGAAACAGAACAGGGAATTTCAAGCTGAGTAAGTGGCAAACTGTCCTAAAGGAGTCTCATTACCTCAGGATCTCTGCAGCCAGTGGGCCAGGCCACACGGCCGATGGCTCCTGGCCTGCAGAACAGAGCTCAGCGGTTTGTCCTCTTCCAAGGACCAGCACCAAGAGACCCTCCTCTCCTGGGAGCAAGCACTTTTAATAAACCTGCGACTCCACCCATTCTACATCACACTCTCCACCCCCTTTGACCTGGCCCGCCCAGGTTACCCAGGTGCATCCTGGGAGCCCTCCTTGCAGGCATTCTGGGAAATCTCCAGGAGTCACTTGGAGATTCCTAACACCAAATCCCTCCATTCCTTTGCAAATCAAGCTATTTGCATAACCATGGCTGATAACTGACCTAGCTTCCTGCCCTTCCAGAGAGAAAAGGAAAAAACAGGAACACTTTTAAAACTCAGAGTGAAAACTCAGGGGTGTGTGTGTGTGTGTGTGTGTTGGGGGGGGGGTGTTTCTCCAAACATGTAACGAATTTTTAATCCTAATCTAGAAATGAAGCATCCAGCTTGCCAAATCACACCAGGACTATTTGTGTCGAGCTTCAAGCCACTGAATTCCAGAGAGTCTTCTTTGCACCCCCTCTTTCTCCAGGAGAAAGCAAAGGGGATCTGCTTTGCACATACAAAACTGCCTCGTACAAAGACAAGCCAGTCCTCTCAGCACAGCACAGCTCTTTTTCAGCCCTTCCACCTGAGACCCTTTAATTGGAGATGTCAGAAACAGAAAGCAGGGATGCTAATGAGGCATGCTGATCAGCTCTAGGAAGGCTGGTCTATTTCTATTCCTGCCCATCACATTTGACTCAGATGCCTTCTCTAGGTCAGTTACACCCATTTTAACCCCATAACAATCTCTGGGGGAGAGGGGCTGAGTGAGCACAACTGGCTCAGGGTACCCAATGTGCTTAGGGCCGAGCAGAGATCTGAACCCAGGCGTGCCCTGGCCCAAGCCTGGCACTCCACCCATGCCACCCTGTAATCAATCAACGCAGCTTCACATTCTGTTTAAAACGGTCGTTTTGGCCCGTGAAACCTTTTATTACAGTCCCTATTTCTCAAGCGGATTACAACTACAAACGAAGCAGCGAGGACAGTACTGCACAAAGAACCAACAAAACAAGAGGACTCTCTAGAACATAAAGGCCCCACTTTTCAGTTTTCTTCTCGTATTCGTGTATGACAGCAGCACAGGGAACAGGTCTCCTGGCAGTTACTAAGTGGGAGCTCCACAGATACAGAGGCAAGTGTGTACCAGGGGAGAGCCAATGCGGCATAGGGACTAGGACTGGGTTCAAATCCTCACTCTGCCACGAAAGCCAGCTCAATGGGCTTGGGCCAGTCACACTCTCAACCTAACCAACCTCAACAGGTTTGCTGTGAGGACAAAACTGGAGAAGGGGGGGGGAGCCTTGTACACTCCTTTGAGCTCTCTGCAGGAAGAGTAAGATTTTAAAAACCTAATGGATCGTTCCACAACTGGGGACGAAACACCGTCACCCTCATGCTCTGCAGGGCCCCCCAAACATGTGCTTGGCTGCTGCTGGAGAGAGAATGCTGGGCCTAGATGGACCCACAGCATAACCGAGCAAAGCAGTTCCTCTATTTCGATGTCTTTCTCTCTCCCTTTCTTTAAAAAGGGGAGCGGTACCCCTGGGGTCACCTCACTTAGTATCTCAACCTACAAGCTCTGCAACCCATGAGTTTACGAAGTTATAACCTGCCATAGAATGCTACCCACCCCCACACAAATGTTTGCTTTGAACAGCTATGCCTGAAGAAGACTTCCAGGTGACTAGAAAACGTGTACTCAGCCATTTGAACGGGTTCTGTGACAGGGATCACCAAACTGACTCTGCAGAACCAACACAGTTTTTTGAGATAGCACTCTTGGATAACCCTATTATTCTGATGTATGCATGTTAACCAGTTCGCACAGGACAGCAAAAAGGAACAAATGCAAGGGGGAAGGCTTTACTCACCAAAGTCCATTCTGTCTTTCTGGTTTCTCTGAAGCAAGCCCAGCAACAGGTCAGCCAAGTAAGCAGACGTCTCCCTGGGAATACTGAACACAACGGAGGCGGAAATGTTCGTTTCACTTTTAACGCTAAATACTTATTGGCAAAGTTTATGAACAACAGTAATAACACGTTATAAAGAACATGAATAAAGCCATTAATTAACTATGAAGGAAGGACAAATAATTGCAATAACCAGCGGTGTTAACGCATACTTGCATCAATGAGCATTTATGCAGTCACATCATATAGAAGTTTGGTACTTGGCAACACATCCAAATTATTCTAGATGTGACTACTTCATAAACTAGCTGCGCTTCAAAAGCCCATTTTGTGGATCTGCAGGTTAGATTTTCAATGAATTCAAGCAAGGTAGCCATCTATTTGTACAATCGGTTGTGTAAACTGGATTGTCAACAATTTTGAGCTGGGGGGAATTAAAGTCCAAGATCGAGAGATCCCAGACCTTAAGATATCATTTTTAATTGAAGGGCTTGTATTTTTTCAAAATGCTGGAACTAGAAATTTAGCAGCCACCAAGAACGAAACACTGTTTATTTATCACTTATTTATTTATTATATTTATATCCCGCCCTCCCCTCGGACGGGCTCAGGGCGGCTCACATAAGCGGCACAGTATGGCCGGTAAACATAAAACATTTAAAACAGTTAAAACAATCATACCATAACATTTAAAATGCTCGCAACAATTATCCATCAGTAAGTTTAGGTGGCATACCTAAACTTTAGTGGATGCCACATCCCACTGATTGTGTTTGACTTGCATTAGGTAGTTGTGACATGAGTCTCAGTGAGAAAAATGGGCTAATAAATAATGTAAATAATTACATTTGGGGTACCGTTTTATTATCGAACGTTTCCAATAAAAACTGTAGATGCAGATATTCTTATTAAAAAAAATAAAGAGTTCCAAAAAGATGTAAGATAATGAAGATGATCTGCTACACTTTAACAGGCATTCAAATTCTTGAATTCCCAGAGACATTACAACTCTTCACAAAAGTATTCTCACCTCGGGATCAGATTCCTATTCTTTTCATAAAACATTCTTAAATCTTGAGGGCTGTTGGCCTGTTAAAGGGCGGGGGAAATGAAATTAGCCAAAAATGACATTAACCCCACCCACCCCCAGCACAATTTTCATTGGGGGAAACCCTCACCAAGAACACATCCCATCAATTCTCGGGAGAGGTCCAGCACAGGTTGCTATATACTGGTTCCTCCCTATATTCACCCCCTTCTTCCCCCAACCAAAGCGATCTCTCCCCTCCTAGCATCAATTTTATTTAAAAGTACTTAAATACTCTGCCCTCTGATCTCCAATATAGCCAATAAATAGAATTAAACCCTAATGATGGTTCCATATTACATGTGCGTTGACACAAATCATGTTTAACTAAAACAAAGACTCTTTTATAACCACAGTTTGCAGCTAGCAAGGATAGGTCCAGAACGTGTGTCCCCTCCCCGCCACTTAGTTGTTTCCCAGTTCCTGGTGCTAACCAGTGTTACAGGTGCGGCAACACAAACCGTGGTTAACTAAAACAAGATTACTTCACAATTGTGGTTTGCCAACAGTGAAGCTCATTCCCAGACACATGCTCATTTCCCTGCCCTTACTCTTGCACCCATCTCCTCCTTACCACTACTATGCATGGCACCATGCTTCATGTACATCAAAACAAACCAGTTGATAATAATAAGATGCTCTCAAAACTATGGCTTGCAAGCTCGCAGTCTCTAACTTAGCATTGACTACAATTTGTACAGAATTAAGCGCAGAAAAGCATGATGACCAACAAATAGGGAAGGAGGAAATAGAGAGTGAAGGTGGGAAGGAGCCAACTTTTCCATGGCTGCCGCCCAATTTGCAAACAATGGTTTGCTGTGAACTGCTGTTGCATCTGCCCGGAGCCAGTGCGGATGCACCAGGAAGCTTCCTGGCCGCTCAGCAACCCCATCTTCTGAGACACGTTCAGCTGGAGGGGAGGACATAACCCTCACACTCCATCCCTTGTGCAACAGGACACAATTAAGCGGCCCACAGAGTCTTCTCGGGAAATACCTGGAAAGGTGGTTTTCCAACCAGGCACTGATAGATCACCGTTCCTATACTCCACAGGTCGGCTTTAGCATCATAGTGCTGTGACATAATCACCTCGGGAGCCTGGAAAGCACAAAGAGTTTACAGCAGAGTTCATGAACAGTCAGGCACTAATAAAAGAGCCAGTCACTTCTTCTATGACAGCTGGATCAGCAGCCCAACCTGAAGACACCTGGGGGAGAAACTGTGCCTTGTAACTTAGCCCCACTGCACAGGCTACAGAAATCATTAAGGTGAGTTATTTTTTAAACTGTGGACTTTTAAGAATGGAGGCTTTACACCGGGTAAGCAAAAAAAAAAGGATAGACAATGCGTACTTACATGGGGCTAGTTATCACGCATCCCCCTCTTTTCTCTTCCCTTGCAGGCCATTGTGATCACTTTGTCAGACACTGTTTTGCACAAAACAGCAAACCTGCCACACGCATCCGTGAAGCAACACTACGGAAGCAGTGAACGCGTTTACGGCCAGCCATTCTCAGAAGACCCATTCACACGGAATGGGCGGGTCAGTCGAGGGGAATCCCTCCCCCACGCAGAGGTGTGGCAGCACAAACTGGCCCAGAGCAACAGCAAATTAAAGGCAAATGATCAGTCGTAGCCACAAAGGCACCCAAACAGCCTCCTCCCCTCCGGCACCACATCCCAGGTGGGGCACCTGATTGGTGCTTCAGTTCTGGGCAGGCTACTGAGAGGGGAATGCTCCTCTTGGAAGAGGAACAAATGCACCCAGCTATGTTCCACGCCATGTCCGAGCAGATATCTCAAGGAACAGACCTGTTAGTTAAGAGAGCTGAAACAGGGCTCCCCCCCCCCCCCATCTCAGCAGATCTGTTGTAACAATTCCAAACCTGCTGACCGGAACCATGACTGGCTGAAAACTTTCACAGCTGTTAAAAATAAAACCCCTTTTCCCCAAAGACTGGTGTGTCATGCAACAGTTAACAGT